AAGCACATGGTGGTACAGGTATTTTGATACGAAGGCGTCTAAAACACAATTTTCTAGGTACATATGCTCATAACTATATGCAAGCCACATCAATATGCCTTAAGCACACAGGAAAAAATTTAACTTTATCGGCAGTTTACTGCCCTCCTCGCTTCCACATTACTGAGACCCAATTTACGGATTACTTTTTAACTCTAGGTGAAAGATTTCTTGCGGCGGGAGATTACAACGCCAAGCACACGTATTGGGGTTCACGACTCTGTAATCCAAAAGGAAAACAGCTCTACAATTCAATTGTAAATAGAAAAAATGCACTAGATGTAATCTCTCCTGGGCAGCCAACATATTGGCCTGCTGATAACAATAAAATACCAGACCTAATAGACTTCGCCGTATCCAAAGGCATAAGCAAAAATTTTATCTCAACATACACTAGCTGCGATTTGTCTTCTGACCATTCTCCAGTTACATTTTGTACTATGTGATAGGGTCGCTCGAGATATATGACTTTGTTCTCAGTTATCAAGCCTGTACAAGATTCTAGAACAAACTGGGAGCTGCATAGGCAAGAAGTCAAAGTCAGACAATATAATTATATTCAAAACCTATGTCCAAATGGCAAAAACCATTCATCTTTGTGGAATGCTAGCAAAGGTATAAATTCGCCCATAGACTCCGATTCTCTAATAAGAAACTCTCTTGGAAACTGGGCGCGAAGTGATGAAGAAAAATCTAATGTTTTTGCTGATTGTCTAAAAGAGGTGTTCCAACCTAATCCTGCAACAGGACAATATGACTTTCCCACTCAAGATCCACCAGCACAATCTATTGACATGAATATCACGGCCAATGATCTTGTTCAAATAATCACAAACAAGTTAGATTGCAAAAAAGCACCGGGATATGATAATATCTCACCCATCATGATAAAAAACTTACCCCTTTTGGCCATACATTTTATCACAAGACTTTTTAATGCCATAATTAAATTTGGCTTTTATCTAACAGAGTGGAAAACATTCATGATTATTATGATTTATAAATCAAGTAAACACCCCACGCTTGCCTCTTCATACAGGCAAATAAGCTTACTGCCATGCCTTTCTAAACTCTATGAAAGGGCACTGCTTTTAAAGCTAAAACCGTTCCTTGACGTTCAAAACTTAATACCGTCCCACCAGTTTGGTTTTAGGGAAAAACATGGAACTATTGAGCAAGTGAATCGTATAAGGAATGAAATAAGACACGCATTTGAGCTCAGAGAATATTGTTCCGCGGTATTCCTCAATGTTAAACAAGCATTTGATAAAGTATGGCATAATGGACTCATATATATGATACGCTGTTCATTACCTGCAAATGTCCACTCAGTTTTAGAATCGTATCTGCATAATAGAAGCTTTAAAGTGAAATGCAAATCATATACTTCTAATAATTTCCCAATAGAAGCTGGCGTTCCACAAGGAAGTGTTCTTGGCCCTATATTGTATGTACTTTACACATCTGATATCCCGATAAGTAGTTCAGTTATCACTACAACGTTTGCCGACGATACGGCAATTTTATGCCGAAACAAAAACGCTGTGCTAGCTTCAAACCAACTTCAATCTCACTTATATCGGGTGGAGAAATGGTTGTCAAAATGGCGAATTAAAATTAACGAAGTAAAATGTAGACACGTCATTTTTACCTTAAATCGGAGTACATCTCCAAAAATTTTACTAAACAACATTCCCATACCACAAGCAGATAATATAACGTACTTAGGTATCCACCTAGACAGACGACTGACTTAGCGCAAACATATTGAAGCTAAAAAAATTCAGATGAAGCTCCAAGCCTCTAAGTTGCATTGGCTTATTAATAGCAGATCTTCCCTGTGCCTAGAGTATAAAGTACTCTTGTATAACAGCATCATAAAACCAGTATGGACTTATGGTATCCAGCTATTTGGCAATGCTAGTGCTTCAAATATTGAAATTATACAAAGAGCTCAGTCAAAAATACTAAGAATTATCACTGGTGCCCCATGGTATATTAGGAATGAAAGTATACACCGAGATCTACAAATTCTCCTAGTTATAGCTGAATTTGACAATATAAGAAAAAAATACAATAAAAGGCTGACAGAGCATGTTAATCCCTTAGCAAGAAATCTCGCACTTCTATCCATTACTTCCCGCCTAAAAAGAGCTGACCGTCCAGCCGTTAATTAATATTCAACAGCTCGAAGTAAAAACCGCACCTTTCTTTTTAGTAATCTGTTAAAGTTTAACCACTTTCTTAAGAAACCACCTAACATTCACTCCAATGAAATTTAATCCATTAATCTAAATGAGGTTCGTGATATAAGGTTTACTTATTTTTTTTTTTTTTATAAAATGTATAGTTAAAATAAAAATTTGTAACATTATGTAATTAGTTATAAGATTTTACAACTTATTGTTAGTCTCATTTTAAGAGAAGATGCAATAAATAAATGTATGTTAAAAAAAAAAAAAAAAAAAAAAAAAAAAAAAAAAAAGCTTGATATTATATTGCGGCCACAAGTGGATGCTCCGTACTTCCTCGTGAAGCGCAGTCTACTGGATTATCATTTGATGCAATGTACCTCCAGTTGCCAATTTTAGTCATTGATTGAATTTGCGACACCTTGTTCGTCACAAATTGTTTCAACTTACCAGGATCAATTTGAATCCACCAAAGTGTTGTGGTGTTATCGGTCCAACAAATAAATAGTGATGGCCGATGATTAAGTATTTCTTTAACCTTGCATAATAGTTTCGCACCCAGCAAAGCTGCGCATAACTCCAAGCATTGTATCGAATTTTCTTTAAATGGAGCCACTTTAGTTTTAATAATGAGCAGGTTGGCAAATGCGATTGAATTGGAGGTTGTTTACACATACACAGCAGCAGCATATGCTAGGTTTGATGCATTGCGAAAAGCGTGCAATTCTATTGTATAATTTCAAGTTGTTTTTATCCAACGTGGTATTCGAATATGAGGCAAATGTTGTAAATCACAACGAAAGTCTTGCCAAGCATGCGCCAATTCATCTGACAATGCTTCATCCCAATTTAATCCGGAACGTCAAAGCTGTTGTAGAAAAATCTTTTCTCGTATAGTCACTGGAGCGAGGAACCAAAGAGTTTGGCTATGTCCGACAACATTAACCGCTTGGTGTAATGTTGTCAAAATCTAAATTGATTTTAAACCCAAAATTATCGGATTTTGTAAACCAAATAAGTCCTAGTGCTTTTATTTCACCTTCCACATTAATTTCTATAGTGTCACTATGAGCTTTCACGTTATCTTCAAGAGTGTTTAGGACTTCAGTTGAATTGGAGTTACATTTTCGTAAATTAAAACCAGCAGTTGCTAATAGTGTTTGGCTTTCATATAATTTTTCTGCACATCATCAACGTAAAATTCTTTTAAAATCGTTCATTTTCTGCCAACGTGCGCAAGACTTCTATTGCAAGATATGGGGCACAATTGGTACCATATGTTACAGTGCGTAACCGAAACGTTGTGGACACCTCTTCAGGTTGAGTATGTGCGTCTTTGATATGAAAAAGAATTTGACGACAAATTTTTCCAATATCACCTATAAACACTACTGGGTACAATCGCCATTGCAATATAATATTTGATAAATCGTTCTGCAGCTTCGGTCCTATATGGAGACAATCATTAACAGATATCCCTTTAGCACATTTTTTGGATGCATTAAAGACGACACGTAGTTTCGTTGTGGAACTTGATGCCTTGTAGACGCAGTGATGAGAAAGGTAGCATGTTCGTTTCGATTCATTTAAATTTTGAACCATCTCCATGCTTGATATTCATGTATAAAGTCATGATACAGTTTATTCAATGCCGGATTTCGAGAGAGCAGTCGTTGTGTACTGTCAAGCAATGCCAGCGCATCGTTTTTACTAGACTTAAGTTTTAATAAATAAGCATTCTTCTTCAGCGGAAGTCTGACAACATATCGATCGTGTCGTTGCGTACAGTTGTACGTTCAAACAATTTTTTACTTAAATATTTCATCGTTTGTCAACGCAACATGATTTGTCACGTCTTCTAATTCGCAAAACTTCAGCAAAGTATCGTCTAAGGAAGTTTGGGTGTGATAGCACTTAATTCGGCTTTTATACGAAGACAACCCAGCCTAATTGGGTATGTTGAGTAATGATGTTGCTTATTGAATTACGCTTTACTTCATCAAGTACAGCGGCAGCTTAGTCCGAAGTGCTCATAATAATGTCTATTGGTCTAAGTTCAAAGAATCTTCAAACTTTTTTTTTTGGATTGGAGTATTTGAGCTAATGCTACCTGCTCGAGGCAGTTGTAATGCAATGCAGTTCATCTGAAAGTTTGATTTCATAGAGTGAATTGTGACTGAAACCAATCTTTTAGCGTAGGCAATATTTTCACCATTGGTCCCATTTATAGGCACTTTAACATGAGTTCTGTTGAGTTTTAATCGTTGGACGATAAATTCACTGACAAATGTCGCCTCTAAAGCACTATCTAAAAGAGCACGTACAATCATTTTTTGGCCTGTACTATCACTCACTTTCACTAATGCAGTACCAGTGAATACGGATAGCAATGCTCGAGCAACTTTATTGGTCCCATTTATAGGCACTTTAACATGAGTTCTGTTGAGTTTTAATCGTTGGACGATAAATTCACTGACAAATGTCGCCTCTGAAGCACTATCGAAAAGAGCACGTACAATCATTTTTTGGCCTGTACTATCACTCACTTTCACTAATGCAGTACCAGTGAATACGGATAGCAATGCTCGAGCAACTTTATTTGCAACCACAACACAAATGTTGTTTGATGCCACTACGTAATTTTTAGCTTGTGGTGTTACTTTGCGCTCTGTATTAGTGTAATTTGACGACTCGTCATTCATGATAATGTTTGATGATCAATTAGAAGAGTGTGATGTTTTGCATTGCATCGCATGGATGTTGATAGCTTCCACGCCGCTCGTGTTTTAGGATCTAATTTATTTAATAGGGTAAACGCTAACCAATCATCCCAGTTTTGTACAGGCCGACCAAGGTGTTCCAACGCACGTACGGCGGAAGTAATAGTATCAAAAAGTGAGCGCGAACTTTGTGGTGAATCGTCGAGAAACGTTTTCACATTGACAATTTCTTTAAGATGAGAGTTTATGATTATTCTTTAATTTTCGTACTTCCTTACAAGTAACTCCCACGCTACTGCAAAATGTGCATCAGTGTAAGTAATATTATCTGAAGCGTGTTGGGCGCCCATCACCAAGCCATCTTTTAAATACTGAAGTTTTTGCGTATTGGAAAGCGCAGAATTATTGGTGATGACGGCGTGAATAAATCTTTAAACGAATACCAACTTTGATGCATGGCAGATTGGCAGTTAATTCCAAATTCGCCGCTGTTTTGCCAACAGAATTCTTGTCACTTGGTACTTTTGTGATATTTAGGCTAACAAAAGAAACACGATCTTTAATTTAAGTAGAGAAAAACTTTATTTGCACCTGAACGTGATAGACAGTAAAAACGGAATAAAACCGGAAGCAAGAAAGAGCTTTTTCTAAAGAAACAAGTGTTCTCAATTAACAATAAAGGTTGCTATTGCAAAACGTAGTATCAGGAAGTTACCATTTGGTATAAAAAAAAACATAATACTCAACAGGTACGTTTCCTAAAGCAGAATTTGATACTGAATCAATCAGCTCTTCGAAGGTTTTACAATATATCGCTTCAATGTCCATATGCTTTTTTAGTTTTCATCGAGACATCATTGACATCAAGTAAAAACTCAAGTGCTTCATTATACTTTTCCTAATAGTTATCTAATAACGTTTTTCGGCCAATCAAGTAGTCTTTAGTTTGTTTAATTCTAGCTGTTTTTCCGTATTTGTAGAAAACTTCTTTATGACGGTTTGAAGGTGAGTAAACTTTTCCATTTTTATATGCGAAACAAATTATTAACTTTACGCGATTTTAGCCAACCGTATGAATAATATTGAAATACACAATTGAACACAGTGGCGTCAGTAAAGTATGTATAATACATTGACAGCGGACAAATGAAATAAGACTTAATTCTAAACACACACAAATTTTTCTTTTTAGCTTTTCATTCAGATTAATCAATAAATTCCACTTAAAAAATAAATATTTTCAGTGTGGTATTGCTTTTAGAAGTAATTAAAAAAAATTAATTTATCAGGCATCCTTCACGTTATTCATACGAACCATAATACCATTAAATCAATTTTTTAAGTAAAACGACACAATAATGTTAACTTTTTATTTCTGAATTGAGTTCAAGGTCCATATCTTCTAGGAAAAACATCACAAAAATTTTTTTCGATCTACGGGTCTTCTTATGTCATGAAAGGAGCTCATAAAATTTCAGCTAAATCGGAGATCATAAGGTAATTTTTTGCCAAAATCCGGTTTGTGAAAGAATGACCCATATGCAAAGCAGAAGAGAAATAAAAAAAAGCTCGGGATGGTGATGCGCAGAAATTTGCCAAACAAGGTGAGCCGACCTGAAGTCGGTCAAACTTATGGACAAAAATGAATAACACCAGAAATTATAACAATATATTAATGTAATTTAAAAATTAAAATAACACCAGAAATTATTACAATATATTAATGTAATTTAAAAATTCGTTTTCAGAAGCTTGAACATACTTTAAATTTCGGAAGTATATCGTTACTGGCATACACTTCTCTTAAATATATTTTGAAATTTTATGGAACAATTTTTTAGTCAAACCCTAAACAGGCTTCACAATTGAATGGATTCGTATTCCCATTGCGAATATAAGGTCATTTTAATGTAGACAAATATTTTATTATTCACTTAATAAGTATAAAGAAACGGTTAGCGTCTTAGTAACAATACATTCCTTGCATTAAGTGACAAATTTTAAAAACACAATTATGTTATTGAATTTGTTTCTTAACTGGTTTCACATGTTGCAGTTGTTCACTTATAATACCAAAAAAGATACTTGAAGCTTACATGGGCATAAATATGCTTCAATTTCTTTGTCTTCATTTCCTTTATGGCACGCATTTCTTAATTGAATTAACGCTCATGTGTGAGATGTTAACAGTTGAGTTCATACGTTTTCCCCAACAGCCGATTCGATTCTGTTGCCGACAACATTGTATGGTTGCAGGGGAAATTGCATTTATCCACACGGTATCAGTTCAACCGAAGTCAAAAACACAGGGTGTAACAATGGTTTTAGGTACATTACTATTTTATGGTTGAATTATAATTGCGATCAGTCACAAACAAATGTATTCGCATTATCTCGAGAACTTAGTGGACGTCGCGATCGATTTCGAACGAAGACCTGTATCGAATCAATCCTATATCATCACCAAGATAACGAAACGAAAAAACGCATAAATACCATGAACTTTCCAAAAAAAATTTAATGAAATAATATACATTGCATTTATATGGAGTCGGCAGGAGACTAGACGCCATGGTAAATCACAAAAGATTGCAAGAACGCCGCTTCAGGCAGAGACTACTAATCGTTCAATAAATGTTTAACTGGCTTGGTTAGGAAACGAATAAAAAAATCTCATAAATAACAAAATTCCAAAGCAATAATAATATAAGTTAGTAAATTAACTCGCAAAATATAAATTTGAGTTGACCTTAGGTATAACGTTATTTGACTATGACTATTTAAATACAAGATTCACATCTGATATATATATACATAAAATATCGCTAAATATCAGATATAACCCACCAAAACTAATATGGTTTACATACTACAGTGCTTCTCTTAGCGAAATAGTAATAAAACGCTATTGCTTTATTCTTCACTGTATGTAAAATTCTTTAATAAACATAAACACCATATATATAATATTATTTAAGACACATCAAATTTGAATTTTACGAATTCCCTCCATCAGCACTTTCTTCATCTATTGCTCCGTTATTTTCTCTCACATAATCATCATTAATAAACTGTCTTTCCAAATGCGAAAATTCAGTTTCGCTCAAGTCAACATTATTTAAAGGATAAATATTGGGCACAGATTGAGTTTGACAAATCGAATTAACTATATGTTTCTCTGCATTTCGAATACACATGTAAGTTGCTCTAACCGGCGAGTTCACACTTTGATAAATTGAAGTATTGCTATCTGCGGAATCGGGCGTTGCGCTGGTTGATACTTCCTCACAAGTCATCCAACGCGGATTAAAACTACAACTATTAGTCGAAGTCGAACTGTTACTGCTAAGATTACCGAAACAAGTCATAATAGCAGATTTTCGTTCCTCATCAAGCGATGCTTTAAAAGCATTGTGAAATGCTGCTGCTCTTCTATTACCATCTATTTCATCATCTTCGTCGTCAGTACTAAAACTCGAGTCAATATACTTCAAAAATTCACGAACACCCATAACTGTTGGCTCAATTGGTTCGATTCGCTTAGCTGACTGAAGCCTTTTAATTGCAGCAGCAGCTGAAGTAGACGGTTGATCATCCATATCAACACCAATAGCTCCACTGGAAATACTAGGTATTGACTGCAGTTGAAATGCAGGAGCATTTGGGTATTTATACTGAGACTGGAATGCGAACTCAGACATCATTTGTTCCTGAGGGAAGACATTCATATCATGTGGTGCGCAAATGGGATCGACCTTGTTTTGAGCAGCACCCAATGTCAAGTTACTCATCTTCATTAGGATGTCATCATACTCCGTACCGGTAACCCTAAATTAATTAATTTTATAAAAATTCAAACGTTTGGAATATATTAAATTACAAACGTACTTGCTGTTAGTTGAAGTATGCATCGTAAATGTAAAATCAGTTATCGTAAAAGATCCAACTTTAAATATATCTAAATATAATCACTTGGATTTAATCGTGTAAACCGTAATTTATTTCTTAGGATAATTTTCTGAACAACATAAAAAACTTTTAATTTTCGTTTAAAAAAGATTTGGTATGTGTGTTTTAATTTTTTTTATTCTACTATTAAATCTATAATCACTAGATTAAAAGGTTTTTATGAATATATTATATTATACTTGTATCGAAACGTTGTGTGAACCCAAGTGGAACATAAGAAAGGTATATAAAACTAAGAAATTTTATCCATATTATCAACATATTTAAAGCACACATGTTATTTTCTTTCTTTAAAAACTAACTCTTCTGCCTTTCATAATTGCGATTTATTGCCGTACTTACATAACATTTCTTTAAAAAATCTCTGATACATAATACTTATGTATTAAGCTTATTAATCTTCTATACATCAACAAATCTGTTTGTCTTACCGAGAGTGATAGAGCGGAAAACTGTCAAAAAAGTGTTTCTCTAAAATCGTAGCCAAAACTGAGGATCATAAAAAAATATGAAATTACTTCTTTTTCATATAAATTTCATATAAGTTTTCATACAAGTAACTTTTCTGCATGGTTTCCTATACACTTTTTCGTATTGATTCAATTCTAATTAATATATTTTCAGTGCTTGCTCTTTTTACATGAAAACTAACTCAACTGGAGTTTCGTCTAGCTAAAGAAAGGAAAAATAGTTTTCCCCATAATGACGTGCACTGTAATCTATATACGCACAAAGACTATGACTATCTGCTTTTTCATTCTTCATATTATAACCGTGTTATGAGCGAGTACCCTGACGAATATGATGTGATAATCGTATATGTAAATAATAGTCTGCTTCTTGCCTTTTACAAACAAATAACCGAAAATAATTTAGATATGAGTTTGAAATATACGCTATTATGTACTCTAGGTTATGTAGTAAGATGGGAAACAGAAAATCTACCATTTTGGAGTGTTTAATCTTTAATGGTCTGATAAAGAGGTACAAAAAAGTCATTTTCTCTAATAACAACTTGACACATATTGTTAAAATAACAACAGCGAGAAAAAAAAGAAACCAAAAAATACATATAAGGGTGTAATATGTAAAAGAAATATGCAAAGGTCAATCGATTCATTTAATTTCAAAAAATTTCTTGATTTCGCAAGTTGAAACTAAAGCTCGGTAAAGATTAAAAGCGATTGGGTCCTCTTCGTTTCTTTCTCTCTTTAGTCGTCTTGATTTCCCCTTATTTTTGTTTTTCTCTTTTTTTTGCTCCTTCTCTCTCTCTCTCTCTTTTATTGTCTCTGTCTTTCTATCGTTACCTCTTTTTCGCTCTCCAATTTCATATTTTTTCTCCCTCCCTCTCTCTCTTTCTTTCAATCTCAATACGATAATATCTGAAAAACACATTTCTTAAGTACTTTAAATTAAAATTGTGATACTCTGTATATGCAAAATGTCATAAAAATGCATACGGACAAACGCATGCATACAGCCAGAATGAAGTGTGAAGTGTGTAAGAAGCGTGATTTAAGTTGGATAAAAAACTCCGCACTACTAACGAAAGTAATGCAATAATGACTCTTGGTTGAATGCTTCCTGACAAAATGGCTGCTTTTTGCAGGAATAGTATATTTTATTCAGGTGCCAGCCACTATGGCAACAATACCACATCTGGGTAACAACAGCAGTTGCATCTTTTTGTTGCACTTAAGTTTCACTGAAGCTAATGGTTACAAAGTAACCAAAGTAACTTACATCGTTCAGTTTTAAGGCAAAAAATAATATACAAAAAAACAAAACAAACAAAAATGTATTTACTAAAAGCTTTGAAATAAGAAAAGAATATTTTCCAGCGCACTTTTAAAATAAAAACCGAATATAAAGACAAGGTACGACTAATAAACTAGTGACAATATTTAGACAATTCAATTAGTTAAAAAGCATCATACAATAGCTCAGACAAAGTACTTCATCACGCAAATTATTTGCTTTGAATATAAATGAAATTAGAAAAACCAAAGTATGGAGAGTTTCACTCTTGATCTAGCTAAACTTTGGTCAAAGTCAACAGACATTTCAATTTTTATTTGCACTGATTTTTCTGTAAAATTAATTAATTTATATTTAAACATTTTTATACATAATTTTTTTCGAAAATAAATTATTGCATATTAAAGTTATTCAGGACACTTAAATGCTTTCTACTAAAAATATTTATGATCATAAAACTCTGTCGGTGCTGTTTAATTCTTAGGGTATTTAGTCACAAACTTGCTATAGATTGCCTATCAACAAAAAAGAAAAACGAATCCAGGCTTATCCAGATCCTGACTTAAGCATATGAAATCCTTATTTTTGATTCAATGCAAGCATCGTTGACATATATATTAGAGCCAAAGATAATGATAAACGGAAGTAGTACACCATTACGTCCGGCTTTTTTTAAAACATCGAAACCTTTTCTCCAAATTAAGCGGAATCGGCGGAGGTGGATTCCTTCTTTCGTGTATTGCATCGACATTAATTATCATTTATTTCTTTATTTTTTTCCCTATAAATAATATGGCTTGTCAATTAATTCAACAATCCTTTAAATTTAAACATCGATCACAAAGTTTCCTCTACTGCATTTACTTTTCAGCACCGAACCCCAGAAAACCAGCGATTCGCAGTGTACATTATTGAACTAAATATTTGACTCAATTTATCAAATAGTTTATTAACAGAAATACGTTCGAGTGCAATTTAAATCAAACTTCAGCTTTTAACCAACAAATCCCTTCCATTTGAATGCAGCCACTTTGCAAATTATTTGCGATGCCAAAACTAAAATCTGGCGACCGCAAGGTAACACAAAAGTTTCCAAGCTAAAAAAACAAAAATGCTCCTCCAATCCGCAAACATTATTTACAGATACAAATAAACGTACATCGACAAATATATGTATATGCAAAATTCATATTCTGCACAATGTTCCAGTTGTAGTCATACTGAAATTTTATGCAAAAATAGCAAATATCTCATTCAATTCCGGAACATATCAGTAGACTTCATTTGGTTTAGAACTGCAGGAGTAGCGAATACATGCAGCTTTGCTTTCTGCGGAATTGTTTAAACCAAAATCAAAAAATCGAGTAGGAATATACATATTTGTATTAACTGTAAATATATATACACATATATATGTACATATATGCATAAATACATATATCTATATATGTGAATATAGGTATTTTATTTGTGCTTACGTGTTTTCCCACCATTAACACTTGCTAATGGCACACAGAGCTCAAAATCCATTAAAGTCACTGCTCCATAACTATTGACCTTTGTGCAGTGTGTCGAGTTCATAAGCGTTGCATTTTTGTTGCAGATTATTAACTACACTTCTCTCTGACTTTTGACAATTAATTAATAGTTTTTTACTGATTTCATTAATAAAAGTCAATTTCTATCTTCCCTTTTGCATCAATTAATAGAAAATAATTTTTTCAGTTCCATTCTGATACATATCTGTTCTGCCTACAAGAACATAATTGAATTGTTGGTTTCGGTTTAGGATAAGAAGATCTTTCTTCTTCTTCTGTAAGAACTTTTCCGAGTGTAAAATGTCTTTTCACGAGCTGTCCAACCAAAACACAAAATCAAAACTAGTCAAGCAGTGTAAAATTGACTTACTGACATCAGTAAGTAACTTGTGCACAATATCCTTAATTTCAGTTCTAGAGTACCGAAATGTAAGGAAATAAAATTGCGGATGAGACTAGAATTAGATGCATCCTCAGCGGAAAAACATATGCTGACCTCATTTTAAGATGAACAAAAATATACCCATAATCTAAAGTCGGTTTTATGCGATGTGATTACTGAAAGTAATAGCGTCCGAACTACAAATTTACTTTTTATTAGACCAACATCACATTTTTAATATCTGATAAGGAATCTATTGCAATATTTAAGTAAAATATGAAATTGTGATACCTAATACCAATGCTTAGTTTTCTCTAAGTATTCTGACTATCTAATTCATAAATTTAGTAAATGACTTCCTGTATCAATTTTTAACATTAATTCTTCCATTGAATAATACAATTTTGGAATCTATCAATACTTTAATGCTTTAATTTTGTCATATAAATCTGTGCTAATTATTCTACTCAAATTTGTATTCCATCTTAAATTGGTAAAAGCAAGTAACGTGTCAGAATTCACACGATATTCCGAAATTTACTATTTTCATGGCACGAAAATGCTCAGCGGAAACGCTGTCAAATCGCAACAGGAAGGAAATATTTGATTCAAAACAAACAAAAAGCAGCACAAAATATACCCGAATAGAGTTTGCGTGAAAAATAATCGCACTTCGCGCTAGTGCCATTGCCCCCACTTTTGCCTTTGCAGCTACCACAATGGCAGAGCGTCGCATTAAAATCGCGTTCAATTTTCGATTAAAGCCAACCGAGGTTTGGGGCTATTGGATAGAGTGACTCTTTGGGGCTGTTGTAGTTGTTGTTGGCGTTGTTTTTGTTGTTGTTTATTGTGTGGGAATTGGAATTATGGCAAATGCCTAAAAAGATAACGAATCGTATACATCATTTTGCTCTTTCCGACTCAAAATGTGATTGATTGTTTACGAAATTAATCATGATTCTGGCAGCAAATAAAAACAAAATTGACAAATCCCGCTTAAATGTGAAATGTGAATTATAAACTTCTTTCTAGTAATTTGTGTCTTTTGCGCGGTTGTTTTGATGGTAAGTTTAAGGTTTCTGTTCTTATAAAATAGTCAATATCAACTTCAACCTATTAAAATTTTTGTTTAAAAATTTCAAAAATATAACTAACATATCTTAATTTCTTTTTTTAAATGATTGTAAATGTTTCTCATTAAAAATTTGGCCACTGATTATTGTCTCATTTTGAAGGTTGTCAAGATATTTCAGAATTTTTTAAAGTGGCCTACCTTCAATAAAGACTGTTAGAAAAATTCTATCAAGAAAAAATTGCTTAAATCAAATATGTAACAGAGGTCAGTTCCAAATTTAGATGCATTTTTTACTTATATTCATTTAATTATATTCCCTT